AGTAACTTTGTCGTGTTGAAAGGTGGTGAAACTTGCATTTGTTTCAATATTTCCATCTTTTTCATCGCAAGGGTGTCTTCTTCCTGTGAATGAACTTGTCATGACATGCTTCAAATTGAAGTTGTTGCCAGACTGCCCCAACTTGTTAATTTTTACCTTATTCCATCCTTTTGTTTCGACAGCATCTCAACTCGAGATTTTCTTAGCTAGTTCTTTTTTACCTTTCCCTCATTTTATTGTCTGTTGGTATGCTCATGGCTGTGCAGTGGATCCAGAGTTCTAAAACTCAAAAGAGTTTCATTTTTCATTGTACTTCAAACTCGGCTTATGACTTGGTAACCAAAGTCATACAAACTGATGAGAAAATTAGTAGTTAGGGGGATATTATTGATGTTGAATTTGGTTCCACTGTATACCCCTTGCATACTTGAATTTCAATTTTTGACTTTATTGAGATGAGATAGAGACTGACCGAATGCTCGGTTATATACCGAGGAACCCGGATCATGAGTAGGACAATCATTTTTGGTTGTTTTTGGAGAGCGGGCAAACCAGTCTTTACAATAACTTCTAGGTGCAGGCACATTACATGCACGGTACAGTTATGTTTGGCATAGGGTGTTTGTATTATGTTAATCTTCTTATAATCTTGACTTTTCTTAAATTCATTATATAAAGGGAAAACGTTAGTTATAAGAAATTGTTCATCCTGAACATTTATTAGAAATCACTTAAAAGACTCTCTCTCTTTCTCTCTCTCTCTTGATTTTTACTTGGTGTAAGTTCCATTCTATGGTGTTATATATATATATATATATATACGCACACATACACAGAAACACACGCGGAAGAATTAATTAAGAAGAATTTATGTAGGGGAAACCTTGGTTATAAGATATTGTTCATCCTGAACATTTATGAAGAATCACTTGAACTCCCCACGATTCCCCTTCCCCCTCCCCCACCCCCAACCCTCTCTCTCTTTCTTAATTTTACTTGGTATGAGTTTCATCTATATAACATACTGAATGTACGTATGATAAAAGAAATTTTGATTAACGTTTATTTTTTTCATTTAATTCAGTTGGCGAAAATTTCTAGTAGATTATTTGAGGGTGTCAATAAGCATTCTCAATTGCAAATTAATCTAATATACCAATTACAAATTTACTAATCATGAGCAAAAGATTTAATAAATTAAAAATTTTCAATTATGTTTACACAGATTTTTATAAAAAAACTGGTCATTACTTTTTATTTGTTTCCTCTTTTTTAATCTCAAATTAGGAAAATTAATAAATTCAAATAATGTCATTATTGGTAATTTTCTTCTCCAATTTATGACTTCCAAGTAAAATATTTAAAGAAACTATTCCAAGCATTCATGTTATCTTTTTCAAATCACGAATCAATCTCATCATTAATAGTGAGATGGTCATTACATTTCAAAGGTTCAGATTTCATCTTCCTCAACCCCTCAACCTTACAAAACCATGAACAAGAAGATGTAAGGCCACCACTACCCCCACCCTCCACCTATACATGCTAAAAACATGAAACCCTAAACTTGTCATGAAGCAGAGAATTACAAGCACGTACCCACCTGAAACTTCTCTACGTACACTACCACCAGTCTAACTATATATCTATGTATATAATATTAAAGACCATGGTCGAGTTGCAGAACTAAAAGCATGCCGGAGGGATCATTTTGCCGTAACTACGGCCATTTACATATTCACACAGTGTTCTTGCAGGTCCCTCCGGTCCTCGAGAGCTTAAATTAACATCATGCAGTACAATGTTCTTGCACGGAAATCTTTTGCTACATTTCAGATTCACCGCTGTCTTCGACCTAGTCGTCCCCCTTATGTTTCTAAATGTAACATCTTTAATCTGCACGGTAGAACCCGGCTACAAAAAACACAATATATTGAATTAAATCTGTATTATACATATATATAATTTGAATTACTTATTGATGAATACATAAATTTATTAAAAAAATTAAATTTAAATAGAGTATATAGAGTTACCTTGAGATTGCAAGGCGGGTACGGACAATACTGTTGATCGATATTAATCGGTGTACCAACATTGTTTATGATAATATTATCATAAATAATATCAGAAACAACAATAGAGGAAATCGAATCGGCCCATGTCTTGATCCTCAGACCATCACTAGAATGAGAAATGGTGGAATCCTTGATTGTTATTCTCTCTATATTTCGTTCACCCGGGTTCTTTCCCAAGCTCCCAATGCTGATTCCATGTCCAGGTCCACATTGGACTTTAGAGATGTTTATGTTGGAAATGCCTGAAAGCATGGCTATACAATCGTCACCGGTGCCAATATTTAGTGACGAAAATTCAATATTATTTGACATGCCAATTTTGATCCCGTCTGTGTTGGGACTATTTGCCGGTGCTGATATTATCAGGTTGCTCACTTTCATGTTTTCACAGCCGAAGAAACTGAAATGGGTGTTTTTGCTGTTCAGAGATTTTATTCGTTTCAACTTTGATTCTTTCACAAACTGGAACGCCATTGTCTGCATTTATCCACATAAAAGTTTGAATCAAACAGTATTTCTATATGTACTCTTTTAAAAATTGTGTTATATTGTGCTATAATGCATGAAAATTGTATTATATTATATTACAATGTATGAATTAAACTGTACTTCCATGTATGCTCTTTTGAAAATTATATTCTATTGTATCACAATGTATGAATTTTAACTAAAAATATTTGATGAAAATTTGAATTTGTATATACGAGTTTAAATCAGACTATATTTTTCTTGTGTATTTTTTTAAATATTATATTATATTATATTAAAATGTATGAATTCTTATTAAAAATAATTGATAAAATTATGAATTTCTTGAATCGAACCAATAAAAGTATACCGTGGCAAGGGGACGACAATTGGGATTTTTGTGGCAATCATTGAAGGGCCAAGCAGAGGGACCTTGGCCATCCAAGGTGCCGCCTCCAGTGACGACGAGATGATCAATATACCTAAATGCAATCCATGTATCACCTTTGATGGAAAAAGGGTTTGCCGGAGCTTTCAAATCTCCTTTAATGAAAAATGAGAGAGAGCCTTTACATGGACCCATAAATAATATTTCACCAACTAAATATCTTCCTACTGGTATATAAACTCTTCCTCTTCCGTTCCATTCACATGCCTCCTTCCATGCACTCAAAAAAGCCTGCAAATTCATCACATACACAATTCAACATCACCCACAATATATATATTACATACATATACAAATATTCACAATTCAATATCACCCATACAACAAATATACACATATATGTATGTATATTACCTTGGTGTTGTCTGTTTTGCCATCTCCTCTAGCACCATACTTTCTTACATCAAAAACTTTAACGTATAGATCTGCAGCTTCTGTGAGACATAAAAACAAGAATGTTGATAAGCAAACCCTAGCAATGAAACAATTGTTTAAACCCAAGATAATCCTGGCCATTGTGATCTTTTACTTTTAATCTACTGATTGAAATGATAAGTTTGACTCGGTTATCTTTCTTTATGTATATGTGTAGAGTGATTTAATGATAATTAATTTCTTTTATTAGCTTTTTTTTTATGGTATGTTGAATATATATGATGAGTTTTTTTATTGGATTAATTAGTGATTTGTTTCTTTTTCCAGTTAAAAAAAATCTATAAAATTGCTTAATTAAATGGTGTCAACAGACCCACTAAAATTTGGAAAAATAATTCTTATATATATATATGTATATATGTGAATTTACAATAATAAAAATTTGATTTTATTTCCTTCCATAAGTACGGTAACTTGATCCCATTAATTATAGAATAATTGGAGTTAATAATAAAATGAATATAAAAATGTTATGCTTAATTAATTTCCATTTTTAAGCTATTATACATTAGGAAAAAATAAGTGAAAATTTCGAATAATGAGAATTAATGTGGGATATATTATTGAATTAAAAGAGAAATTATAGAGATAATATATATAATAAAAACATCAGAAAACCAGCTATTAATATAATTAATTATGAATTAAGAGCGTAACTATATATATATCACCCTAAAAGACATTAATTATTATTTCATTTTCAAATTAATATATATATGTATATATGTGGTAAATATGCTAATGGTTAGAGGGTTGCAATTTGGAGATCAGCCTGATTTGAAGTTTCAAAGAGATGGCAATTTTTTTAGTACGAATTAAAAGATGGTAATTAATTCGGGATTTGTCCCCAAAAAATGGTTAAAAAAATTACTGTGAATTTTTTTTAAACAATAATAATAATAATAATAATAACAATAACAACAACAACAACAGTGTATCTTGAGCTAATTTTAAGACTCAAGTTTAGTATAATGAACATATTTTTTTTTACCAAATCCATTTCAATTGTTTTGAAATATGAGTAAACTATATACGAATTTACACTCATAAAAAATCAACTAACCTCTAGATAATTACATAGAATTCTTCAACCTTTTTGCATATAGAATTCGCAATTGGGGCAATAGAGTTATTGCTTTCTCCAAATCTAATTGAATCTCCACCATCATTAGGTCTTATGTTTTATTCAAATCATGTCTCAATATCCCAATAAATCTTTAGGGTTTTTCTCTTCTGTACAAATATCATAAAAGATTAATAAGGTTTTTCAAAACCTTGTTTGTTATCTATAACCTTCTACCTGTATGAAATGGTTTGTATTAAGACTCACTTGTTTATTAGGATTTTCTTATTTGTAAATAGCCCTAGGTGATATAACTCTAGTAATATGATCAATGTTGGTCGGCAATTTGTGAAAGTTATTAGATTAAATAGAGGAGTTTCAGAAATTATTTTGCATTTCTTGTTTAAGAGATTGATCTCCAAATCATCCAATTGATTCATCATCATGTATTATTCTATTCACTTTTAGTATTGTCTATGTTATATTAATCTTATTATAAATAACTTAATAAACTATATTTATGGAAAATATATCAATCTTATTATCATGATCTTCTTGTAATTTTATTCTCGTTATATAGTTCACAGATAATTATCATTTAAATGAATTCTGACATTTATATATAAGCAACATCAAAATCAAAGAATTAGACTTTATTATTATTAACAATAATAATTTTGAAGTAAAATAATTACAATAATGTTAATAAATTGAATATAATCAGTTTGTCAACCATATTATTACAAACAAAAGCAAGAGGACCAATATATTTTTCCTTCACAGTGTGTAATAGCCTAGATCTGTGAGGGAGGGTGAGATGAACAGTGAGGATGAGGTGGGCGAAATCAACGGTTGTGATGTGCAGTTGGGATAGGTATAAAAAGGGGTGTCGGGCAGAGAGAAGGGGGAGAATAAAG